GGTGCACCACGTGGAGGTAAGTCTATCGCACACCCCATCGTCCCATTATCATTTTTTCCAGTTTCCTTAAATGCACAACTTAAGACAAGTTACAAAGGTTTATATAATGGTCGTGTGAACTGATCGAGTAGAGAATATTCATGCAATGCTTAAAGACTTCCCTTGACTCGACTTCGATAGGGAATCTTGGGAAAAAATTGCGGACCAAAACTCCTCATATTTCCTAGCAATAGAGGTTTGTATGCTGCTCGAATTCTTCCCGGACAAAAATTCAGCAACTATCTTGCAAGGTTAGCTGCAATCATAAAGGGGGTTTTGTGCAGCCTGTCACAAACCGCTTAACATCATTGGCTCCAAATGAATAATGGTAGTAATTAAAATGTCATAATTAAAATATTTCAAACCCTCCAAAAATTAATTGATAGCTATTTTAGGAGCGAAAATAAATCTATTTGTAAACCAAATAACCACGCGCTATAGCGAATAGTAAGCATTTATTTCCGTTACTGAAATTGAGAAATACATGATGATAGTTCTATAAGCCTCTGGCAATGCGGATTCAATTCAATATGAAAGTACGTCAGGCAAACATTGATCCACTTTTGCACTGGATGGAACTCGCTCAAAGTTTAACCGACACGCCGAAACCATCCTTTTCGCAAACACATCGCAGGGAGTTCCACCATTTCCTTGGATTTTCGCAACCAAGTAATTCGTTTGGAAATACAATTGACAGGACCAGAGTGCATCACTTGTCGAGCCGACAAGGTTCATGCTTCTGCATCCCCATCGCCGAGGGCCGATCAACAAGATCTATTCACATGCCTTTTTACTTGCGGTTGCGTGGATACAATGAGGAAACCCCTGTAGACGCCGTAAGGGGAACTTCGTAAAACCTCTTGCATAAGCCTAAATTAATCACCCTCGACCGTAAGGGTATAAAGGATACCATATGTATCGACAGGTTAAAACCGACATAGTTGGAGCATTCTGCTACATCTACGCTCGTCGTTAAAACACGCCTCCCTAGTCTTTCGACAATCATAGAGACACAGTACCCTTTCCTTGCTCACCATTGCAATTTCCGTACACGAGGATGACGGGGCATGGGTTGAGTAAAAACGCACTTTGCTAATCGGAAGAAAGCCTTTTAATTGGCCTTTGGCTGTTTGTACATGCGATTACTCGTTAGGCGATGACGCGTTCCACAATTCCACCTATAAATATAATTCGTTAACGAACTTTCTAAGTCAATAAAGTCAGAAAGAAAGTTTTCAGCACGAATCAGTGCACGTTTACTTCATCACAAACACTTACGTAGAGACCAGAAATGCAAGCCACGTCTGTACTCATATCACCTAAAATAATTGGACTCAGGTTAATATCGTCAATTTTTTTGAAAACGTCAGATAAAAATTGTCACCAGGAATCAGTGCACGTTTACTTCATCACAATCACTTGCCTTGCTGAAAGATTCGTCATTTAACCGTGGCATTTGAGCATTCAATGGAAATCCCAACGAATAATAGAGCGACAAAACACCACACGGGCATAGACCACGTTGCCGCACATTACAGCGATGCAACGATGAAATAAAACAAAATTATCATGATTTTCATAACTTACCAGTTCCTGTTAAATAATAATTTTCATCTGTATTGTAATACATACTATACAAATATTACGAAAAGTTTATAAATCAGTCTTATTTCCCGAAGTGTATTTCGTGTGCTTACTACGTAATATATGTTATATATATACGGGGTGTGCGATAGACTTACCTCCACGTGGTGCACCCTGGGCAACGTATACTCATACGGCAAAAAAGTCTATTAACCGGCATTTGACTTCTCACTTCAAACTACCATGACCCCCCTGGTTGTCATATTCGACCCCTTTCACAGTACTTATCTTACCTTTTTCTCTTCTATTGTGTCTGTCTGCCTCTTCTAAATCTGTGAATCGCTCTTCTGTTCCCCACCCCTCGACTTTTTGCTACTTTGATGAACCTTCCCTCTGTGAAGCCCGAAGTCAGTAAAATGGCTGATGATATCTATCAAAACGCCTGACATTTGAAATAAAAAATATGTTATATATATATATATATATATATATATATATATTACATATTATATTCGCAATACCACATTATGTGCTAAGTTTGCAGATGCATGAATTGAGATCGATATAACCTGTACTCGTATTCTTAAGTCGTTGTGACCACGATACGTCTAGTTTGCACACCGATTGTGGGGGGGGGGGGAATGCAAGAAGTAACCCTATGCAAGTCAAGTCGCAAGTTAATGCAGGATTTATTTTAAACAAATTGAAACTCTTTCTATGCCAGTAAAGAACAGTTACAATGATTGAACATCTAATGCGAAGGAGGTTAAAGAAATAGAGATTATGCCGACGGAGTGCGTGGAGCAAATATTTCTGGTCCTTTCTCTCTTCTCCCTTTGCACAATCTAATAACGAGAACATTTAACTCCAAATGATCTTTTAAATAAAGTATTTCCAGTTATTCGGCATTTCCAAGCTTAGGCAGTCAAATAGTATATTTTAGCTTTTAGCACCTACATTCAAAATTTTAAATAACAGGAGAATAGCATTTAAGGGAAGTAACATAACTTAGATGAATTGATCCATCGCACAAATGCCATGGAACTATTGCTCTTTTAACTGTAACTGCGTAGCAACCTGTTTATTAATCCCTTGTTTTAATACTTTAAATAGCATTTAATGAGTTTTTTACCCCTTTACGAAAATTAATGCGAGGAAGTCAGTTTATGCCATACGATCTATCATTCCACCCTGTTTTTAAGTTTTTATTTTGTGCAAACACTTATTCGAATGTCAAGCGTTATTATTTTCTAAACCGATTCCCAATAAACCACCACAGAAGCGCATTTTTCTATTAAAATGATGGGACCTTAATTTTCCAGCTTGAGCACCTTTGTTGGAGAGCCAAACTTAGTTCAGTTAACTTAAAGGACCACCTCCCCCCCCCCCCCCCCCCCCCACAACTTTCATGCACTTGATATTCTGAATTCTCCTTGATCTGATTTCTCTAAGCATATAGATAAACTTATGACTCATTTAATAGTGCCTTTCTACTCGAATATTGCAAAAGATTTATCCACAGTCTTACTTATGCCGAATCTCTCAGCATTACCATATTCATACTATTTAAAATGGAACAGTAACGTTTTTAATTCTTTTATTAAGGCCAAATAACAATAAATGACAAATACTCACATTAAAAATACACTACCTCAAGACAAAATATCACAGAGACGCACACAGCAAAAAAAAGAGGATGGAATGAATAAGAAGAGAGGTAATTCGAAGGAAATAACATCATTACAGCTCCCAACTGAATAGATGGTACTTGACCAACATATCCCCAGTGGATTCAAAATCATAATGGAAACAACCCAAATCTGTATCGGGATGCCGATACTCCCGTAGGGGCCGAAGACCACCAAGCCGAAGTCGAGAGAGCAGTAGAAGGGGTGCTTTAGCAGCCTGGAATAGACGTCGTACCTCAGATTCAATGCCACCAAGTGAACCGGAGTCACGTTTATTGCATACTTTATCACCCACTTCTGCCAATGGATTTAAATGGAATGCAAACTGACTCAATACCCTAAAAGAGGTAAAAAAAGATATAAACGTAGAGAGAGAGAGACATATATGTAAGGGGAAATAAATTAGCGAATTTTAAGCAAATATGAAGGCAAAGGTATCCGAGTAAGCAGATGTTCATAGGGTTCAATAGTATAACACATGAGGTAAGCATTAATCAGTGCCAAGATACCTTAACTCGCATTTGATCTGTACCCAACCAGGACTGCGTAAGAAGGACCAAGGATGGTACCACTTTGTGACCACTTCATCACAAGAACAGAGAATTTCTAACCACAAGTGGAGTACTAGCTCACTGAAAATGGGAACAAAAAATTCAATATAAAATTTCTTACTGTACTACTAGGAAGAAAATAGAGCGGTAAACTTACTTTAATCCAATGCAAACCAGAGTTCTGAATTTGACATCATCCGAAGTGTCCAGGGATGAATGTGAAGCATTGATGTTTTGAATTGACTAGGGAAAACAGTTTATATTCTAAAGTATTTTATGATTTCTGTTGATTTGTTGACATTTAATGGTACGTAAACAAACATGATGGTTAAATCATGATCACATGCAAATGTTCTGTAATGATTAGGTTTTTAGAAATCTACTAAGACTCACTGAATCCCGCATATCACATAAATAAGCTCCCTGTCTGACTCTGAGGTAACTTAAGCATCACTGCAATGAATTTAATATGCCCCAGCATAACTGAAGAGATTATGGAAATTAAGCAACTCTACTCTAGGGAAGCATGCAATACCCCATTTAACAAAAGGGATCTAATGAATCAAAATAAGTAGAAAGCACTGTATTCCTAGACCGTGTTATATGAACTATAAAAAGGACAAAAAATGATAGACTACCACTCAGCTTACCCGATAAAGGAGCTCCTCTGGACTGAGAACTTTCCCCACCTCATCCAAACGGAAAGTTCGACAGAGAATGAGTCGAGAATGAATCGAAGATGAGTCTTGTTCGGCTTCTCGAATAGCAACTGCCTGAATAAATTTCCAAGGACTCGAATTCTGATCTGTCAGACCACGTGTTCGCTTCAGACCATACTCAAATATGGCTCGTAGTGAGGAACACAAACTAGTGATAGGGAAAAAGTAAGAAAAAAAAGCGTTGACAGTTTCTACTCATTTCTATCTAATTAAGCAGTGTTAAAAGAGACATACCCATGTCGAACCAGGTTTCCAACGGCTGCATAGACAGAATCATCTCCAGCGGGTGAATACTTTTTCGATCTCTCGTCAAGTAGTTCCACCAGCTTTGCAGGAAACCAACCACGAAGACCACTACCGGATATTTCGCCCAACCAACAGTGCTCATCATGCATATCCAACACAGTGATTATGTCATTTCGTAGGAAACCCAATTCATCTCGCTCCTGACGAGCAAAATCGTAAAGCGCCTTGGCTCGGCGATTTCGAACCACTGCTGTCTACAAAATTAAGATTAAATTAATCAAGAAGATGAAATATTAAGCTTTCCAAATTGTGATATTTTTGAATGGTATGCCTGCGATATCTAATGTAGAGACTATAGAATTGCAATCACTTGACCAAAAGAACGAATGCGTGGAAGAATAGTACTGCTTGAATGAATGCATGCACGTAGGCTGGCATAAAGGGTGTTCGCTAAAAATTCGACATGCTCATCATAAAAAAGAAACTTGGCTTGCAACTTCAAAATTTAAAAAAAAATTGAAAGAAATTAAATGGACAAGCCGATTACACTACTGTCAAAGAGTGCTACTCAACATAATCGCCAATAACGTCTATTATCGGAAGCTGGAGCAAGCTCATTCTAGCGTTTCCCCGATGAAGGTCTCAAAAACTGCTCTGATACTGTCCACTAACTGGGCTTTCATAGTCCAGCCCCAACGGTTAGTGCACATACAAAATAGAGCTTATGACATAGAGTACATCAAAAGTAGAGGCACAGATTTTACACCCAGGATACTGAAAAACTACCAAGCTACATTATAGTAATCGCTCTACGTTGGAACAGCTGAGAAGAACGTTTCGGCTGATTTCTCCAATGCCAGCTGCTGATTGCTCAGACTCAAAACAAAGCCATGAATGCTCATTGCACGCCTGAGAGAAGGTGTTAAGAAATTAACGAGCTTAAAAGTAGGAAATGAGGCAACGGTGGAGAATATGAGACTTCATTAGCTCTTGAACACAAGGCGGCTTTGTATATATATATATAGAGTAAAATTACTATTTCATAAAGTCGGATCTTATGTTACAGGATTCATAGACGGTATTGTCAAAACTAAGATTAACTTCCCATGGAAATTTGCTTTCTCCTAATTATTTCGTAGAGAACACCTATGAATGCCCCAAGCTTTCATGCGGAAGTAATAATTTTCCCATTGTGGAAGAATAATCGATCAACTACCCCCCCCGCAATTGCGTAGATCAGACTTAAGCTGCAGTTGCAAAGATCTCATGAACAATATGCAACTTAACTTAGAGTAAATAATAAACTTGATCTAAATATATCAATTATCTGACAATTTCAGATAAAAAAAACAAAAAAGGTTTTAAACGCCTTGATATTGGGACATTGAACACGTAAGTGCTTCAATAAAATATTTTCCTTACGATAGCAAAATATACGCAGTGAAGGGTGAGCGATAGACTTACCTCCACGTGGTGCACCCTGGGCAATGCATACTCATACGTCGAAAAGGTCTATAAACCAACAGTTGAATTCTGATTTCAGACTACCATGGCCCGACTCTATGTCATATTCCACCAATTTTACAGTACTCACCTCACCTTTTTTCAACCTTAGTGTTTGTCTATCTCTTTTACATCTTTGAAACACTTTTCTGTTCCCCCCCTCTTGACTTTTTCCACTTTGATGTTCCTTCCATTCTGTGAAGCCTGAAGTCAACTAACGGTTAATGATAACTATCAAAATGCCTGCCATTTGATATAAGTAAATAATATACGCAGTGAAAACACTAGGTATATTGTTTAAAAAGCAAGCCAACCTGAACATAGGTGGTAAGGTCTCTACCATGACTGGCAAGCGAGTAGTCTGGTTGCGCCGACACCTTTCCATGGCTGGGGTCATTGTTATGGAAGTGGCGAACGATCTAAAAGAAACAGATTAACGTTTATTACTTATTCAGTAATACAATATAAAGTGAAGCGAAGCAACTTACAGCTAAAATTGACTGCCTCAGATTCACCAATAATTCAGTCTGCCGAATATTCTTAATCTTCGGATCGGCTCTATTGAGATCTTCAAATTGACGATAGAATTCAGTGCGAGTGCGTTCATCAGCTACACTCAGGTGTGGAGCTTCTTGAATGGCTGCTGCGGAGCCATCACTCGGCGTATAATGCATTTCGTACCCTTCTTCCTGTGGGAGGAAGAGTCTTGAACGATTTCCAAATGCTCCACAGAACAGACCCAGAGGTCCGCCATATTGCCTTTTTTCAAAATTCCTTCTGGTGAGAAACTGTAGAGAAAAAAGAAAACAAAATTTGATGCCAATTAATTCTGATGATGAAGACAACCAAGACAAACCACGCTATGACCATTTTCGAGAATCTGCTCAATATTTTTTTATGAAGCGTTGAGCTTTAACCGACAGACATTAACCTGAATTGGGCCGATTTAAAGGCAGAAATTAATGTAACGATATGTACTGGATGGCCAGTGCTCTAAATTGGTTTTATCCTCAAATTCCTAAAATTACACTGTGGCTTTTTGTTTAGAAATGGACTATCTAATAAACATCTAACCATCCTCACTCTCAATTACTCTCTTATGATAATTGAAACTAGGGGTGTGCGATAGACTTACCTCCACGTGGTAAACCCTGGGCAAAGTATACCCGTACGGCAAAAAGGTCCATAAACCGGCAGTTGACTTCTGACTTCAAACTACCATCACCCCACTGTATGTCATATTCTACCACTTCCACAGTACTCAACTTACCTTTTCTCCGCCTTTGTGTCTGTCTCTTTTACATCTCTAAATCAGTCTTCTGTTCCCCACTCCTCGACTTCTTGTTACTTTGATGTTCCTCCCCCCTGTGAAGACCGAAGTCAGCCAAAGGGCTAATGATAACTATCAAAACACCTGCCATTTGAAATAAGTAATTAAAACTATTCAGCAAATCATTCTCATTACAATCTTGTCTCTTTCCATTCAGTTACATTCAATTTTCGTCAGCTAAATCTCCAAGCTGATTCTACTATGCTCTTTCTTTCCAGATCTTTAATTAACCTAATTTATCTAGCTAAATCTGAGTTCCTCCCAAGATATTTCAACGTCTAATCAATACAAAATTTAATGCAATAAATGCAATCATATTTACAATTGATCCCTAACAAGGGTACCTACAGGTGACTAGACATCAGGCAAAATACAGAGAGAGTCAGTCAAATATGATTAAAACTCGCCTGTTTAGGCAGAGGCCGAGCCTGCCCACTTTCATTATCAGCGTTGCTTAGTTCCACAATCAGCTGGGAGAGATGATGTCTTCGTAGACCATCAATGTATGTCTGTTCGAGGTATTCATCTTCAAACGAATAAGCAGTCTAGGAAATAAATAAATAATTAAATCGGTAAGTGACAGTAAGTAAGAATATTTTTTTAATACTTAAACAGGATTCCAACCCTATTTACCACACTACTATTAAGAAGTCAAATGAAAAATAAACGGCGCACATAAGCAGAATTCATTTATTATGTACTAACTAATCAATTATTGATTTTCCATAATTGGGACTAGAAGTTCAACCTCAGTCAATTTTTAAGTTATTGGTTAACAAGTCAGCCAATCAAAACCTGTTAGACAAAATAATCAATTTTATTCAGGCAAAATTGATTTACAATATTGTTATTACTAGTTAATTAATAAATATTCTATTGTTGTTTAATTATATACTCCGTTGCAGATTAATTGAGTGGGATAATTTTGAGTAGGATTGCTTAACCGCGTTGTGATTGAATTTGTCGGGAGGCTAATAAGGTAAGGACAAATCCCAAAACTAAAGTTGCACATAAAATGTGAAATTTCCTAATGGAACACGAACTAAAATTTCATTCCATCGGGTCTAAACGAGTAACCGGAATCATGACGATCACTAAGGCAAAGATACATTATTTAGATTCAAATCCCATCAAGCCAACTCAGTAGGCCTTGTAAAAGGCTATACCTAAGCCTTGATTTCAATTAAAATAAATAAATCCCAAGTAATCAAACCAGATTAAAAACATGAAACACACTATTTCTCTCAAACGATCTACTAAGCATCCTATTTAAGAACAATCTAATTAAAATTTCAATGAATAATCCAAGAACGATGTCCACCCACGCACATGTATAATCTCAAATTAGAAACGAATGAATTGTCATTTTCCGTTAAACATAATTGGATAAGAAGGGGTGTGCGATAGACTTACCTCCACGTGGTGCATCCTGGGCAACGTATATTCATACGGCAAAAAAGTCTATCAATATCCTTTAAACAAAGCGACATGCTAGCTGTAGGGATCAATTGATAAACATTTTGATAAACAACGACGAACAAATTAGAGGCTTTCTTATATGATAAGCTTCTCGAAAATAATACATGTGTCAGAACCAACTTGACAATAAGGATAACAAAGCTAAAATACGTTTAATTAGAAGGGTGAAAATTAAACATCGACAAATAATCGATGTCTTTCCAACGAATTCTTATTGCCGACCAATTAAACTATGATGGATAAAGCATGCAAACGGATGCAAATGAAGACAGAGTACATTATTCGGAACAGTAATTTATCATGATTAAAAAGAAAATGGAAATGAACATTCGTCGGAACCAGTTGAGTGGGATGATTTTGTTTAAAAGACAAAAAAATTGGTCAAGCAGATTAAGGTAATTCAAACAAACACGTAACATCCTGAAACATGGTGCATCCTGGGCAACGTGTACTCAAGCGACAAAAAAGTCTATATGCCGGCAGTTGACTTCTGACTTCAAACTACCATGACCCCACTGTATGTCAAATTCCACCACATCTATATTACACACCTTACCATTTTCCTCTGTTTCCCCTCTCCACTTGTTGTGACTTTGATGTTCTTCAACTCTGTGAAGCCCGAATTCGACTAAAGAGCTGATGATAACAATCACAAAGCATGCATTCTGATATAAATAAACATCCTGATACATAAATTATTACCCTTAACAAACGAAGCGGTCACAATCTCAGTAAAAATGATTCATTTCCTTTATAATCCAAATACATTTGTGCATAACGTCATTCGCGCGCATTATAAATATCGCATTAATTTAAAGAAGTATTTTCATTCTCAGGTTAAAGATAAGCTAAAGTTATAAGGCATAATAAGATGTGATTAATCGCTTTTAGTTGACAACTGTGGAGATTTGGTTAAACTCCACTAAATGACCGGTTACTCACTTCTCCCCAAGATACAAGTTTGGCAAGTATTTAATGCTATCGATTTTTGAAAGTGAAAAAAAACAAAAATGCCAATGTAAAGAGCTATTGAGGATGCATTCTGCAACCGCATGGAAACTTTCACATCTTCAATGCTCTGCGTGAGTCATTACGCACACATAAAACAGCTCCAAGTAAGCTGTAATATAAGAAATAGCTCACCCTTATGAATTCGTCGATATCGGTGATTGATGAAGGCGCATTTGAGATCTCATTGAAGAAGGCCGCAGCATTCGTTGTTTCCACCAGAGCGTCTTCCTGAAATCGAAAAAACGTTGATTTTCGAGTTGAGACGCGTAAATAAACCCCCCAGAATCGGAGCTCGTGTATGATAAAGAAGGCGAGTGTAAATTTGTCAAAAGAATTATGAGGAGATGGACAATCAATGGGTGCCCATTCCACTTGGCCGAAGCAAAAGCCCAGCAAATTATCATTAGTACCTAATAGTTATTGCTTTGATTTGTACATGAGAGCAGCTGATAGGATGCCAATCGATTTTCTTCATTAGTAAATTAAGTAGTAATCATCATGTGCTAATCCAAAAGGTAATTCATGGAAATTTCGAAGACACAACTACTATCGCTGAAATCAATTTGAGAGGAAATTTACCGAAATCACGAAAAGTGAATGAAAGACTGATATAAAAGATATGCGACAGATGAATCAGAATTCAATTCTATGTGCTCATAAGTTTGGAGCAAATCTCGCTTAACAAGCTCGACAGTATTTAGGAGAAAGAGCTCACCTTATTTAAAGTAGTTAAACCTACCGAGTTTTCCACAATCTTACAGTTCTCTAGAAAGCATCAACAAGGGAGAATTTCTGCTTTAGTGCTCTCAAGCAAACTGAACAAATCACCCATACAGTAACTCTGGCCTTGAAATTAAACCTCACAAGTGTACCACGCACATACATTAAATGATAATACTGTAAGATACAATGGCAACAATAAATATTAAAATAAAAAAAATATATGCATAGCAATTTAATCCTCTTTATTGATCAGAATACCTAAATATGATTTTATTACACTGAAGCAAATGTAGCAGTCCATAAGGCGAAACTAGACCGATATTACTACAAGAAACACTAGCAAAGGGACACAACCAACTCATCACTACGTTCTCGAGCTATCGACGTGTTCTCTGATGTAAAAAGAAAAAAAATGTGATCGCCAACCACTAGTGCATACTCAATGGCCAGAATAGGTGGAGGAATTCAAGTATTACATTGGGTGAGCTATATTCGAGTCAAAAGGTGGCCTAGTGCAAACACTTTCCCAATTGCACATGGGGTGTATGGGGAGGAGGGGGGGGGGGGGGGGGGGGGGGGGGNGGGGTTGAGGAGTGGTTTTAACACCATCTAGGAAAAAATTAATAAGAGATAGAGTACCATTAAAGGTTATTAATCATGTCAGATATAAAATGATTTATTGCACTGAAAGAGAGATAAATTCCAGAATTAGTGCGGGAATTCTGAAAAGAGTAGAACTGTGTTTTCGAAGCAACTTCATGTTGAATATCTAGATGGGTAGTTGATGAATGAAGAAACTTGATAATAGTACGGGCAATGATCACAAGCAAGCCAACGGCCCCTCGCGTTGGCGTATGAAACATATAAAATGGACAACAGAAGGTAGCCGATACAACACTTCTGAATTAGAATTAGAAAAAAGGGAACAATCGCTCCTCATGAGAGTGAATGACGTGATTGGATGAGCCAGTTGCCCTACGGCCAAAAAACCTTATATATTGACAACGTACAAGGACAGACTTGCGATTATAAAGAGGATTGATGAAGCTGCATTTTAAGCAATTAAACTTCTAATTGTGGGGTGTGCGATAGACTTACCTCCACGTGGCGCCCTCTGGGCAACTTATACTCATACGGCAAAAAGTCTATTAATCGGCAGTTGACTTCTAACTTCAAACTATCATGGCCTACTGCAAGTCATATTCGACCCTTTCACAGTACACATCTTACCCTTTCTGAGCATTTGTGTCTGTCTGTCTCATTTAAATCTGTGAATCACTCTTCTATTCCACCTCTCGAGTTTTTCTCACTTTAATGATCCTCCCCGAAGTCAGCTAAAGGGCTAATGATAACTATCTTAAAGCCTGCCATTTGAAATAAATAAATAAACTTCTAATTGTTTGAAACGCTTAGCTAAATAGTTATATAAATTTGTACAATTAATTGCACAACTTATCGCAACAGCTAGGGTTAGCGAACAAAATGATGACCAACTGATATTTCATAAACAATTGAACAATAATAATATTAAAATTAAAATGTAAATCAATTGATAGACTCATTAACCTTGATTTTTAAAATGGCGAGGGCGATTCGAAAGAGTACGGTGGATCCTTCGTAGAAAAGGAGATCCCAAACGCGCAGCATGATTTGAATATTTAGTACTCCGGAAAATAAAGTTAGAAACCATCCCAAAGTTATCAAAGGAATATCTAGAAGACAGAAGAATTTGTTACAAATAAAAAATTTATATTAGGAGAATTTACAAAATAAAACGCTGTACAATCATCTAACGAACATCAAATTCTATTGTAATCATAACCCACAGTATTAAAACAGATTGCAACGTTTTATTGGTTGGGTGGAATTTAAATAGTTTAACAGAAGGTCAAATGTATCTTAAATTGGAGCAAATCCAAGATTTTTCAATTGTCCTACTTCCTTCTCTACAAGGCAACAAATGCTTGCTTATGGATCATTGAGGTCATGGTTGAAAAGGTCAAATTACCTAACCCAATTTTCGGCAGTTGACACTCTTAAGAATGTGGAGAAGAGATCAATAAAGTCTTCTAAATTACATAAAAAACGATACATTGAAATATAAATCTTTTCGTGATTGGCCCTATGGTCCACCTTCTAACTTTTACTCCAAGGGGTGAGGTAGTTGATAAGTCTATCATTAAATAATTTCTTTACCATTTACAAGTTCCATTCTATGGAAATCTTCATTAGCACCAGAAAACAACAAACGTATGCTCCTAAACTATCTCAAGGTGAAAATGTCCGAAAGGCGAATAGACACGAACAGCTACTACAGTTGGAGAGGAAACTTGACTTTTCAGGACTTCACATGCCAATATTCACTTTCCTCCGGTAGACGTGACATTGAAGCTTTTATTCTCGTGACACTCATTAAGAAACCCATTCGATTATTTTCGGTGCACATTGCTGAAACTCCCACTCTTCTTCATTGACCAACCTATTTTCTCAATCAAAATATAGTCATCTGAGCAAAGCGACTTTCCCATTTATAACTTCAAGGGATAATGAGTGTTACCGAATTCCATATTGACGCCGAGTTGAGCAAAGTCAGAAAATACACTCAGTTTATTTCCGATAATGTGGCAATTAGATAATATGGACAGCTCAAAACTAATGCCTCGGTGCAATACCAGCCGCACCACTCATAGAAGATTCAAAGGGAAATAGAATTTGGTAGGAAAATTGGCTTCTGATTTGGGCCAATAGCCTTCAGTGGTATTTTGCACTCCTATTGTTTTCTAGCCATTAACCAATCAAAATGAAAGTGAGAGGGAATTAACCAGAAGCATTCAAATTCTCGACTTTTTCGACGACATAGCAAGAGTGCCCAGTGAGATGCCGAATTATTTAAAATCGGGGTTAGGAAATGGTCAGATCAGGATTTTGAAATTTAATTTCACTAACAATAAGCCACCAAACTTCTCTGAATATTTTTTAACATTTTTGTAAGAATTACTCCCCATGTAGGACTGTTCGATGAGATGAAAGGACTTCATATCAAAGGAACTTAGTTTCAAGTTTAAAAGTGAATCGAATGCCCAATCCAACTCATCATTCCCGTGTTACCTGCATCCAAAACCTTGTATGCTCTGTGCGATCACATCGCCTTTTCTCTCTAATTCCCGCAACTGCCAATGTAAAGAACAGAAGGCGAAATGTCTCCATCAAGTAAATATTACGTTTTAAAGATTGGAAAAATGCCAGAAGGCGGAAAAGAGCAAGAATTAAGACACACGGAGATATTTCATCAATAAAAGGGTGAATGAAAGCCTTGCATTCCTTTGGCCAATCCGAAATCTTCATGACCATTCAATTAATTGAGTTATTACTATTGCTAACAAGGTTATCACACGCCAATCATTTTATATAATAGTGGACTCCCTACCCATTTAAAGCCTTACGCATATTAGGACTCTCAGCAACTATTAAAAAAACAATTTTAAATAGTATTAAAGCCATAAAATTTTGATCAACAACTGAGACTTAATTAATATAACCTGGGGGATGAAATTAACAGCTGGAAATAAAATTAGAACAACTCTAACCAACGTCGTGCTGTTTAATTGTGGCATCAAGACGTGGCAGAAACACAGTAAGGAGTTGGCAGAGAACCCGTTGATCTGTTTGAACACCAAGGAGACTGTCCGCTGAAAAGTATGAAGTCGGCAGAATATCCTCAATTACAGCACACATCATCCAGAAGGCCATTTCTTCCTCCATGATAAGAAGCAAATTTGCAGCAATCTAAGTTGGAGGGAGAGCAAAAATCCTCAGTTAGAGAATTGCCTTGAAGGAAGTAGAAAACTCGAAATCAATTAGTGTTACAGCATGCATTCCATTTCCTTCCTTGACTATATTGAACTAAGTAATGTAGCGCCACCAATCCAATCTGATCCCTCTTAAAGTCAATTGCTCAACAGGATCTTGGGACACAAATTTCAAAAAAGTTAGTTTGCGAAAAAAAAGAGATTATATAGGGTACAATTCCACAGAGAAGCAGTTGCTTAAAGATCGTAGTAGTAACTTATTTTTGAAGTCCAAAGACGCTTCTCAAATAAAAATAATGGAGACTCATTTAAGGTGCTTGAAATTTTAGAGAAATTTGTACAAATACTCCCAATAAGATCACAGAATGTTAACACAGGCTAAAATCGTTTGGTTCTTATCGCTCCAACCTTCAGTGGATTCCCCTTTAATCGAGAAGTTTAAGTCAAAAGAGAAAAAAAACTCATTTAAGGCAGTAAGCAACTTACAACACCAAGCCCTTGACAATATCCTATTTCAGTGTACAACCAAGCCACACCAATTAGAATCCTACGCAATCTTGGAATTCCTGTGGCCGATGGTGAAGAAAAGCACACATTGTTTGGCATTGTTCTCAAGAGATCCTGGAATGAAATAGAGATTTGACAATCAGGGACGCACATGCAAACATTCACCACCAACACACTAAAAGAGAGGAAAAATGAACTAAGATGAAACGAGAAGCCACCCACTTTGATTAACCCGGGGTGCACAATAGACTTACCTCCACGTGGTGCACCCTGGGGGCAACGTATACTTATACGGCAAAAAAGTCTATTGATCGGTAGTTGACTTCTGACTTCAAACTACCATGACCCCACTGTGTCATATTCCACTACTTTCACAGTACTCATCTTACCTTTTTTATGCCTTTCTGTCTGTCTGTCTCTTTTACATCTGTGAATCACTCTTCTGTTCCCAATCTCGGCTTTTTGTCACTTTGATGTTCCTTCTCCTCTCTGTGAAGGCCCGAATTCAGCTCCAGGGCTAATGATAACTAACAAAACGCCTGCCATTTGATATAAATAAACTTCGATTAACCCACCAAAGGGCTCAAATACCCCGAAAACAAACTAACATACAAAAAGCTGCAATATTACATCCACAAACAGTGCATTATTCCCATCACGGATAGGAAGGTATCATTTAGAGAACACAGAACTCCGGCAACACAACTGCAATCTTCGCCTTATTTCAATCCTTATTCTCTTTCCCCACATTTTCAATATGCATCAATGACTATCTTACACCATTAAATATTATTATATTTCACCATGGGTACAAATGACATTGGTACTGCTAACTACTCCCATGCAAACGAACTCCGGGTACAAAACTGAATAATGGTAAAAAACGGCATTTCAATAAATTTTATACATTTTGAGAGCCAAAATACTAGGTCATTAGATAATGAAGCTTCTTCAAAGCCTTGTAGGTTCATGAAATGACTGCGTGTGTTTTATTTGCAACCAGAAAATCATCGTGGAAGCTTACTCAATATCTTGAAATAGCATATCCAACAAAAATTACCCCACCTTTTCGATCTGTTGACGAATTTTCAATGAAACAGAGGAGCTGTAATGGGTAATTTCGGAATAAGTGAGTGGAGTTTTCTTGAGGCCAAGATTAAAACCTTCATTGCCTCTCGTCCGTCCTTGTTGCTGCTCTTCATAAGCGCGGGTCAGACGGGGCCAGATTTGAGAACGCATTGAATGAGGAATACCATCTCTTGGATTCAATTCATTGCTCGGACTGGGTACACCTAAAATGAAGGCCGAGCAATTGCAAATGAAAATGAGTTCAATTTGAAGACAAAAGCAACTACTATCGATAGATGCTGCTTTTACTTGCGTGGCCTTACCAACTGAACTAACAATTGCAGCAGAAATACAGGTGTAAGTAGAAAACAGGTATGATTTCTACAAAAGTAGCGATTTTGTCGTAACGGACACAATAAGTATAACAAATTAAGATTTCAGAATTGGTGATATTAGAAATAGCGTGTATCTATAAAATAACACTATTCAAAACGTTTAAATGAGGACTAAACATTATAATTCTTACATTATAAAACCTAATAAACATTAGTTAAATATCAACCTGTCCAAATAAAAGAAAACTCGACCAATTTAAACGAATGTAGAACGCGAAAGTGCACAAGGAGAAAGAAAATATTGGGAAAGTATATTATACAATCAACCTAACCTGACCACTTCAGACGTTCAGCAGGATTCTGCTTGTCCTCAAGTCCACGAATAAGCTCAGTAAGACGCGGAGAAGGACTGAGACGAGGATACAGACACATCCAAAGTGATTGTTCTCCGGAATAATCTCCCCCATCATTCTGACTGCTTTCACCCAAACGATCTGTATAAGCGAATTCCAAGTAAGCCAACCAATTTCGTTTGTTTTCAACGTTTTCAACGAAGGGCGGAGACAATGCGTCTTCTATAAAAAAGGTGACAAAATAAGTATTAAAAAATAAAAGCTTTTACTAAATAGGAGCCAACCACTCACTTGAACGGTCGATTTTAAAGCCGAGTTCGTCAACTATTGTCATTGATTTCCTCGAAATTTTTCTTGATCTTTCCTCAAATTCACTGTCTATGTCCTCGTCCGTTGAACTATGATTTTGCTTCAAATTACTCTCTGATGGTTTAATCGACTGCGTCACTGCAGCAAAAGGTATAGGCAGTTCCAACTCAAAGCTGTCATCTGGTTCGTGAATACCCTCATCAGCGACATCGGCAGATTCCATGCTAAAAGTAAATCTGATCGAAACTGTGATTAATTGCAGAAAACAGAATGACAAGAGTGTCAAGACAATTCATTTCACAAAGGGGTGACACAAAATATTATAGAACTTATTGAAATTCTCATTTTTCAAAATATGAATTACTAACCAAAGATAATTTATGCCCGTGGAAATTTTAGTGCGTAGTGGGCGCCGCCGCGAATGAGCCATTATTTGGTTAGTATAAACAAAGTAACCTCACTTAATAAGCACTATTAATCTAACGGTTGACAAACATAATTTAGAAAAATATTTAATTTTTTATATAAAATGAGCGTAATTCGCAAGAAACCCTCTTATATGGCTTGTGAATTTTATTTTTTCATGATGGTTCAATTTAATACATCACTATTTTCTACATACCTCTAAATTTCACATCATTGTACTCTAGGACGTCTTAATTTTGCATACAGTGGGATTTTCAATTTCGGAGATTATGATACCGTTAATATGATTAACAAGTTGGAATGATCTCTACAAAATTTGTTTTTGATATTGAATGGTACTGGTTAGACGTAAGCATTTAAAGATTTACGAATTGGTGACACAACGAATAATGTGTATATGTAAAATGGGAAGATTTCACCAATTCAATGTCTTTTACTCAATCGAATGCATAATATAATCACACATTTCAAAAGTAAACGTGCATTAGTATAACGACTTAAACTGCACAAGTAAAGTGGGGTGAGGGTAGATGGTGAGGAAGGGCCAATACTGGAGATAAAATGTACAGATTTGATATGGTAATACAGAGGTAGTACGAGTGTACCAAAATATCCCACTTATTTAACCTTCTCCTTATTAACCACGGGAACAACCCAGAGAATATTCTCAAGTGCCTCATCATAATGAAAGTAGTCAAAGCACTGTACAGAATGGTTCCGTGATCACTTGAGATCCAATTGGCCGAGACAGGTCATAAGTACTACCCAATTGAGCTACAACTCAGAATTCGCTAGAATTCGGGCATATTTCAGATGAGATTGCTAATGCTCACTGGAGATTGGAATAAGTTAAATATTAATATCAATCCGTGCGTACTTGCCAATAACTACCACTGATAAAAATTGCAATGGCTAAGTCTTTGAAAGAACATCAATATAAAATGCGCAACAGAAGGTAAAATCGATAGAGGAAGAAATTTATTAAGTCAGTGGACTGAGATTAGACATTCACATGTCTAGTCGGTTCCAACTACATTCTCAATGCACTCAAGAGTTCTCTCCATGCAGCCATCTTTGCCATGGTCGAAGGCACAGGACTCCTCGGCGTCCATGCAGTCGTGGTAGACAAAGAAACGAGCCAGCATCTTACAATGCTCAACCTTCGGTGACTGCTTGCACTTTTCAAGTCTCGCTTCATAGGCCTCCTTCGCATGTGGGCCATCCGGTCTCTTTGGGTGCATTGGCTTATCGCAATGCTCCTCCTTATGCTCCCCCTTCGCCTCATGTTCCTTCTTCACTTCATGTTCCTTCTTCGCCTCATGGCCTTTCTTCCCCACTGGCACATTCGATTTCCTTGCATGCATTGGCATATTGAAGTGCTCCTCCATTGAATTATGCATGCTTTTGCCCATCATCTCCTTATGCTCACCTTTTGCGTCATGTTCCTTCTTCGCCTCGTGTGCTTTCTTCCCTTCATGGCCCTTCTTCCCCACATGTTCCTTATTCACTTCATGCTCCTTCTTCGCCTCATGGCACTTCTTCCCCACTGCCACGTCCAAATTCTTTGTATGCATTGGCATATTGAAGTGCCCTTCAATCGAAGTATGCATGCTTTTGCCCATCATCTCCTTATGCTCACCTTTTACGTCATGTTCCTTCTTCGCCTCGTGTGCTTTCTTCCCTTCATGGCCCTTCTTCCCCACATGTTCCTTATTCACTTCATGCTCCTTCTTCGCCTCATGGCACTTCTTCCCCACTGCCACGTCCAAATTCTTTGTATGCATTGGCATATTGAAGTGCCCTTCCATCGAAGTATGCATGCTTTTACCCATCATCTCCTCATGCACACCTTTTGCGTCATGTTCCTTCTTCGCCTCGTGTGCTTTCTTCCCTTCATGGCCCTTCTTCCCCTCATGTTCCTTATTCACTTCATGCTCCTTCTTCGCCTCATGGCACTTCTTCCCCACTGCCACGTCCAAATTCTTTGTATGCATTGGCATATTGAAGTGCCCTTCCATCGAAGTATGCATGCTTTTGCCCATCATCTCCTCATGCTCACCTTTTGCGTCATGTTCCTTCTTCGCCTCGTGTGCTTTCTTCCCTTCATGGCCCTTCTTCCCCTCATGTTCCTTATTCACTTCATGCTCCTTCTTCGCCTCATGGCACTTCTTCCCCACTGCCACGTCCAAATTCTTTGTATGCATTGGCATATTGAAGTGCCCTTCCATCGAAGTATGCATGCTTTTGCCCATCATCTCCTCATGGGCCATCATTTCCTCATGCGCCTTTTGTGCCGCCTCATGCACCTTCTTCGCATTTGGACTGCCCGACTTGTGTGGAGCTGCCACCACTGTGGATGCACAAAGTGCCATGACAGCAAGAACTCCGAATAGGTAGAGAAGGAGGAGAGTCGACGTCTTCTTCATTGTGAACTCGAACTTCACTTGTTGGCAGAGCATTGTGTCGAGGCCTATTTATACCTGTTTGCCACATCATACTTCACTAGTACTTTAGCAGTTGGCGAATCAAGTTGAAGAGGATTAGTTCAAATCTCTATGTACTTATTACAGCACACAGCACATAATACATGATTTCCTCCTTTTAAGTTCACGCCATTCAGCAATCCATGGCAATTCAAGATAATGGAGATCATTGCCACAACAGCTAATTCCATTATGTTGCTCTCTACCATATAAGAACTGCACTCGAAATCGAGCATTGAATCGTCTGGGGAGATCGAGCAAACGAATAAATGAGTGAATGAAGCACAATTTTGTAGCCATAAGTTTGAAGAGTGGTGAACTTTGGAGTAGGCATTATGCAACTAGTTTGAGTAAGAGCTCTGCGATTCGATGCGGACAAACGCGACTGAAGTCAGCAGAGCTGTGTGTCTGCCCACACCGACTCACAAACCTGCAAGCAGACAACGAGGTCATTGAGGTGTGAAAGGGAGTAAGGCAAATTGAGAGTAGTCAATGATGACAGAGCTTTATAGAGGGTGGCCATGATGTGTGACCTCACCTGTCCAGTATGCCACTGGAGGCGACACTGAACAGTTTGGTGAAGTTATCCACTATTCGCTTCTCACTACTCACTACTTTCATGTATAACTATAACATACATTTTCGTTTCTCTATTCACTTGACACCCATTCCATCCTCACCACTTTCCGTCAATGCTGATCCTAACTCAGTGCGAGAAGTATTCACCTATACCCACCTATTCACCAGTCATCACATCACACATCTTTTCGCAACTTCTCCAACCCTCCCAAATCTGATGCCTCCGTCATTCATCCAAACCATTCCAACCACTTTTCTCTTGGTCTTCCCTCCCCCCCCCCCTAACACACCAACACCCCCTTCCACCCCACCCCATCTCATCCAAACTCCACCCGAACGTCTACTATCATCACTTGTGTCACCTCGATGTCAATTGCACATAAAGTGGAACAACACAAAGCGACAAAGTATTGCAATTGAAGGCCATTCATAATTCCACTCTACTTCACTGCGCTTTCTTGGTAGAAATAGACAGTTCGGTATATTCACATGGACTAATGGTAGCAAGAGGCGCACGAACGTTTGAAATGGACACTTCAACAGACAATCGAAATCGAGGTCAAGTTCGACAACAATTTTTCATCGCTCACCGACAGAGTGCTTCATTAAACCGAATTCCTACGTACCCCAATTGCTTACGCTAACCTTTTGTTTCATTTTAATTATCCATCTCAAGTTGCTTTCTCAACGAAACTGTACTCGCGATTGACAGTAAACACACCAAGAATCCATTTAAACAGGGAATGTGACCAAGGAGGTGAATATCTCCCTCCAGCTCAAAAATAGCAAGTCTTTGAATGTTGGGGCACGCATAGTTTAAGAACCGGCTACATGACGCATTGCTAACAGGCAGGCACAACGAGATTCTGCCAGTAACACACCAATGACCTAATCCACAACACGCACTATTGAATTCACTATCCACAACATTTTCTTGACCAATAAAAGAATCAATTTCTACAACAGCGGAGACTTCTCGTATTCACGGTTTAGTTCTCAGAAACAGCCAATTCAGTAAATGACATTGTGACGCATGAAACAATAGTGAAATGACAATCAGAAAGATCCCATCCACATTTCACTCTGAATTCTTTTAATTTTTTTGAATTCAAGTTGGGGATTGAAATTGAATTCCTATCCCAAATCCTAAAAGGACACCTCGATTGTTGTTAAAGTTCAGGCAACAAGTACTAGTGATTTGATTGGCTTCTTGTGGTTGGCACGAGACATAAATAAGAGGAGGACGGAAGATTGAGTTCAAGTAGGATCTGAAAGCACTCGAATCACTATGTTCTCCAGACGTCCTGTTGTGTTCACTGCATTTGTCTTCTTCCTCGTCGGTCTGGTGGCCTTGACTTGCGCCAACGCCGACGAGCACTTGAAGAAGTATGAGGAGCATTTTGAGGAGTGTGAGGAGCTTTGTGAAATCCACGGCAAA